GGTCAGATTAAAACATGATAGTAAAAAACTTTTAAAGACATTTCTCCACTGACTACCCTAGGCAGTCATACCTCCTTTTCTCCTATTAAAGGTTTATAAGCCCCATCACACACACCTCATCCAAAACATACATTCTGGACATTACCAAAATAAGAGGCATTAAATGATACATTTTGACCCCCACTGTTTTCTTGCTACTTCCTGAGCATACATGAATATCTGAGCCCTTTACTTGACAGATCTGCATAGCAAGCAGCAATTTAATGCAGAATCAAGAGAAGGCAGGTCAGGCTTCCATGCTGTAACATGCTCCCCTTTCTTCCAACCATGAATCAGCTAAGACCTCTACAGTATATTACACAGCTCTAAATAGCAATATCTTAAGACCAGCAGTCTGCTCAGTCCATGCCTTGTTGCTCTTTACAGCTAGTAGAAGACCACCCTGTTTAGGAATTTCTTGATTCAGGTTTTTTAAATATACCTCTGTTACCTGAACAAGATACAGTACATATTGTAGAGCCTTATTTCTTACAAATTTCCACTAGTTGGAATGCATTGAAAGTGCTTTTCCAATTAGGCAAACAAGGACTATCAAAAGCTATAGCTAAAGTAAATTAAAACTGAATATAAAGAAAAACATGAGAAAGTAAAAATCTATAAAATGAAACCACAGGCAATTTCACCATGCTAAAGTACTTCATGATATAACAGCAACTTATTTCTTCAAGGAAGATGCTTTTAAAGGATACCTTGCATCTGAAGCAAGAACCAATACTAGTCCTGTTGATTAGCATCCACACTAAGGTATTAAATTAGCATTTGCTTAAATTTGATGTACTATGTAGACATCTACACACACCCCTTAAAATAAAGCACAGAAATACAACGTTTCATGTACCATGTTGAAAATCCAACAAAATGTATATCAAGCATTTTAAACATGTTGAGGATTGATTCTAAGGAACTGCTATGTTCACGTCAAGAAAAACTTGATTGCTACCACTAACACCACTTGTGTCCACATACAAATCTCTACTTCAAGTTAGGTAAGTGATTTTTGCTAAAACTAGTCATACCTGTTGTTAACTGGAGCTTGAGTGTTGCTAATGCTAAAGTCCTCCAACACAATCCCCAAACTGCTTCCCAGGAGGATTTATGAAACAATTCCTATGGCCTTTTGATGAGAAGTTGTGACTGTAGGGTATAAGTTTGTGACAATATTCAGAACTCACCTTACACATAGCTCCCTACACCTTTCCAGCTCTGGTATTGTTTCTCCACTCAGTCAGATGACAACCGGGGGTACCTTCTCCTCTAGCTTGTAGCTAGCTGGTTGATTGTTTCGCTCTTGTGACAGCAGAACAAAGGCTTTCAGATCAATAACCTCAAGTCAGCACACTTCTGCTGACTTATCACTGAAACTGTGTAAGGAGGGGAAAAAAAGCCAAACCACCTGGTCAGTCAGTGCCAAGACAAAGTCAAATCTCTGAATATAGTATTTACTAGGTGGAGGACCACAAGTCCTAGTCTGGAGGAAACTCAGAGTTCACTATGCTACCCCAGGCACCCCAAGGCAAGCACCCCAGGCATGGAGATGACCTAGAAGAGCATGGCCAGCCCCATAGGGAGCAGCTGACTAGTGACTGAAGGCCATGAAGATGATCCAATTCCAAAGCTGTCACTGGTCTCAGTGGTCTCAAGTGAAGCACAACATTAGCTCCTTCCCAGGACTCTCAGCCACTTTGCTCTCACCCAACATTCTAGGGAAGGGATGAACAAACAGAGCAGAAAGGAAGTCAACATTTTTAAATGTCCCAAGAAATAAGACCACTGCAAAGCTTCTAGGGATGTCAAGTCATAAGCACTTCAAAAGTCTCTGGAATCCTATTATTTTTGCTGCCTCTGAGGGACAGAAATGGAAAGGCACAACTTAATTGTCTGGTTGCTGCCACATCTACTCCAACAGCCTGTTTATGTTGCCTTTAATTTGTTCTAATATCCTGGAGTTATATACCAGAACTTCTCTTAAAGCAGGATTTTTCAATGTCTTTCCAGTTTCTAGGCATCCTCAGTTCCCCACACCTCCTTCTGTAGATAATCTTTCTCCTTCAGTCACTATGGAGACAGAACCTAATACTCTGAATTTTTCAAACATGTTACCTGTTTCCATTTAAAAATCCTTTAAATTAGATTATCCCACTATACTACACCGATATCCCACTGTACTGCAAGATATTTTATTGGTGTAAGAGGAGACATTGACATTATGGGTATACCTAATAACTTCTTTAAATATACCAACAAAATAGACACATTAAAGTTGTGAATCCTTTCTAAAAACCAAAGCCAGCTCAGCACTGGCGTAAGTAAATTCCACTTCACTTCAGGTCCAAATAAAGTGGAATCGTGCACATTTAAACAATGACTCATATGGCGTTACAGTCACATAGAGATAGCTGATATTTTTTTCAGCAATTATATATAAACTGAAAAAAAATGATGAATCACATATGCTTAAAGAGAACAAAACTGGAAGAGAAGTGTGAAGCATGCTTCCCCAAACCAGACAAGCAGTGGAAATAGCTCTCACGGCTAGAATTAGACGTTTTCAGCTTTTAATCATGAGCTCAGCTACATCTCTCCTAATGTATTTATTTTTTACACAAATGTCTTCACCTCCTTAGCATCCTCTGAAGATACTGCAGCTTCTTGTTATCATGTGCAATATTTTGACACAAGGTAGAATAAAATGATAGAAAACCTTCAGCTATTCACTCCCTTAGAAATAGCAGGTCTGTTACCAGATGCAGAATGTCCATCAAGATTTTACCCAAAATATGGTAAATTTATTTATTTATTTTAAACAATGAGTATTAAAATGCAAAATCCTACATGGAATTTGTTAGAAGTCCTGGTTGCCAGAGGGAGGAATTTGGAGCACAAGGAAGTCAGTTGGTCTGAGTGTGCAGACGGCTAGAATGCCAGCTACAGATGCAATGTTCTGTTAATAGTTCCTATATTATGTTATTATTCCAGCATGCATGACAGAATGGAAGAGAGGACCAAAACTGAACAAGGATCAGAACAGAGGAAGAGCCAGTGAGGTGGGCTGGGGGAGAAAACAGGACTGACAAGGAGCTGAAATATGGGGGCAGGACTGGAATGAAAAGACAAAAAGACTGGTATTAGATACCTTGGAGGTGACAGATTGGATAAAAAGGGAGACTAAGGTTAGGAATCAGTGAGATAGGAAAAATGACACAAACCAGATCAAGAGTGAAGTATGAGCAAGGACTGGGATTGACTGGGCAAGGAGACTGGAACTGGTATGAACTGAAATGGAAGGCCTGAAGAGAGCAGACTGAGACTACCACTAAAACAAGGATGCAGGTGTGGAGAAGAGAAAGAGATGGGGTCTGGATGGGCCAAAAAGGTCAAATTCAGACATAAAGGTCAGAAGTCTGTGATCACTAGATTATAATCATTTCAACACTCTCTTATGGAGCCAAAGCTTCCATTTTTCCTGCAGTAGATGTCCTTTTTGAAAGCCCTTGTCAGAATGCCTCATCCTAACTAGGCCATATCTAGAGTGGAAGCCGTGAAATAAATCTCAAGTTTCCAACTCTAGTGTTGGCTCACATGGTCAAAATGATGACATATGGTAGAATTTCTAGCATTCAATTTGCATTTTTAAAGTCCTTGCAAGTTATACACACAATACTCCACCCCCCGCCTACCAGATAATTAAGACATAAAGTGCCACACTCAAAAGTTAGAAAATGTCCAAATCAATATTGTCTATGCCACCTTAGTTCAAAATTCCACTTTCTTATGTCTAGGCAAAATGAAGCCATCTCTAATTAAATAAGTTATCATTGTTTCCCCTAGATCTCATTAGACTGTGTCACAGAATGGTTGATGCTCACCTAAGGTGTTCTTAATCCACTTATCTAAGGATTATATTCTGCTACCTGTTATCACACTGTCTGATCCTTTCCACATAAAGTCAATAGCAAAGTCTGATTCTCTAGTATATGGGGTCTGAATTCATGCAGAGGGCTGCAGTCTGCTGAATGGTACTACCTGGACTCTTACCCCAAAAAGACCAGAATGGCTTTTGACATATCTCTAAGCCCACCTCCACCTTGGGAAATGAACTCCATTTTAGCTAAGAATCTGGTGAGACCTTGAGATATTGGGAGACAAAGTTGCTACTGAGAGAGCTAAGATCATAGGGCTCTAATGCAGAGGCAGATGGGGTTGCCAGGAGCAAGAAGGTGAACTCTCACCAGCTCACCTCTGCAAATCTCTGCCTCTGGTAGGAAGGATCAGATGAGGGGGGTCAGGGGACCATGTGCCCTATGTCTTGTGCAAGAACCAGGCCCTCCAGGCCTGATCCCTAGGGGTTCCACATCTTAATGGTATCTAATGTACAGTAAAATATATTTAGATCAAGCTTATTCAGATACAATTTCCATCTCTCCCAATGCTTGACTGGTCTCTAAAATCCAATATTTGTACCTGTAATCTAATATTTACATCTGCATGTGAAGAAAAGGCAATAGACTAAACTGCAAGCACCTGCCATAGGAGATAAACAAGTCTTGTGCTATCTTATGCTACATAACTTACATTGAAGTGAATTTATCTATGGAAAAATGGCTATTGTGGAATATTAGAAGCTCAGCTTGCAAAGTCCAAAGGGCATAAGGAGAAGCATATATGACAAATCTGAACTAAGCACTGTACCCTGCCCTCGGTCTGCTCCAACAGTTAACAGGTATCTGGTAAATGATTTATAAACTTAAAGATAACACAGTATAAAATTGAATGAACATCCCTGCCTAACAAAGATAAATGTTTTCCAGACAACCTATGTCACCTCTGAAAATGTTTCAGGTTATTGTGTCCCTTCTGCTGCTTTCAGGTAAGTGTTTGGCACTAGCTCTTGTGTCATTATCTTCTCTCATGTGTAGTGATTTGCTGGCAGAGGCTGTGCTGCAGGCATAGCAGTACAGAGACAGAGGCATGACAAGAAACTAAAGAGTACCAAAGAAAGGACACTGTCTTGTGACTTGAGCTGAGATCTAGGTAACAAGCGCTGGGAGACATTATTCTGACTCTACTACTTCTCTATAGCTTTAAATATGTGATCGAGCCTTTTCAAAATTTAAGGATACTATATCAGCTGGAAAAGGTCATTGCAGTTGGTGATTTGCAAAATGCTAAATGCTTATGACAAATTATTCTGTGGGATCATTCTGTACACTTAACCCTTACTTCATTACTTATTTTAGAGAACAGCAAGTTCATATGCATATTTGGTGGCCCAAATTCATTGGAGGAGCTCATGATTTTTCTGGTGTCCAACTTGAAACAAGTTGAGGAACATCACTTTTCAGAAACCAGATGTCTAAAACTTTCTAATATTTAGGCTCTTATAAGACACTCCAACTTGAAAGCTAAAAATCAATCATTTTTAAAAATTAGGGCCAGAAGGAAAATTTATGAAGCTGATACAGATGTAATTAACTGTCACTGTGGTTACATGGATGCAGTTTTCAGATTAATACTGACAAGTACAGTACATAATAATCGTTGTGCATGCTGTAAGACAGTTTTTTTTCCACACAGACTGATAAAGCAAGCAGACATCTATTTGAAGAGACCTGTAGTAATCTGTTCTGTAAAGATGTGATCCTATCTATCGTAATGTATGAAAAGTGCCAGTGTTCTTGCAAGTGTTAATCCAGGTCCTCCCTGGAATTGACATAATGACAAAGGAATAATATTGTGACTTGTCCCTGCTTGAGCAAAATTCATTCCTTAAATTACAAGGACTAATTATCCTCTTTTAATTCAAATGAGGTGAACAACAAAGTATTTTCCCCCATTGCACAGAGCAGGAAAACAGAAGCAGCAGCAGAAGCATTTCCCCAAGAACACACAGACCTCTCAGAGCCAAGATTAGAGCTTGCACTTTCCCGAGTCTTAAAACTGTTGTTCAGAGCAAAAACCTCCATCTCCTAAACAGCCCAGCCAAACATTTGAAAAGATGAGGAATCGTCTTTTCAATATGATTGTGTTCTGTGCTAGAGGGAAAACATGCTGCAGAGTAAGAATGCTCTTTAGATGTTTCTACACAGGTGCATGAACTTACTGCACTGGTGCTCTGTAGGGAGGGAAAGAGGAAGAATTTTTGCTTGGCCACCTTTTCCTTCCCATCCTTGTACCTTGTATGGCAATCAGTAGTGTAACTAGAGCAGGGCACAAGCCCCAGGTGCTAATTTAGAGGGGGAACTGGTTTGGATGGGGTGCCATCGGTGCTTGATACCTGGCCCCTGCCCTTGACACCTGACCCCCGCCCTCTCCCCTGGCCTGGCAGTTTTATTCCTCTCTCACTGGGATCCCCCACTTCATCCTGTTTTTCAGCCTAGAGCACTGAGATTGCTAGTTATGTCTCTGACACCAGTGTAGCTCTAATTTAATGCCAATGCATGTGTGTGTGTTTTGTGGAGGAGGGAATGGAAGGGAGACGGTGGAAGGATCACTTAGATACCTTAGTTTCCCATCTAGCATTTCTGATCTGCTCTGTACCAGCTTTTCTTGAATCCAACTTTTCAGCTGGCGTTGACTGGGTGAAGAAGGTGGGACCCTTCATTGTCACTTGCCCAGCACAAACACCATGCTTCCCCCCACTTTCAGTTGAAATCAAGTCTGCTAAACAATAAAGCACCGTGACTAATTTTTGAGGATTCTTATCTTGTCCTCCTCTCACTTTACTTTCTCCTTTTCATAACCACCCTTCCTTGTTTTTTTCAGGCTTCCTTTCTTTAACAGATAAGGGAAATAATTCACCACTGATTTTTAATGAACTGTTATAACCTCTACAGATCACTACTGATATGTAGTTCAGTCATTCATTAACTGCAAAAGCCCTTCAGTCAAGATGGAAGTAGTGGTGGATTAAAACACAATGCACAAGGTCTACTGATTAGAACCAAACATTCAACCATACCCTCTATTCCCCGCAGCCATATTGTCACCTCCTTCCACATCTTTAGAAAGCAGTCATTTACAGCAGTCAAACCTTGGGTCTAGTCCCAGCTCTACTAGAGAGCTGTTGGGTAACCTGGGGAAGGAAAATCAAGAATAGAGAAAAGAAATTGAGACTGATCTGTCACAAGCTCTAAATACAAACATGTAGGACCAAAAATTTGAACTTTGGGTGTCTCAGACCATTTCTAAGAACCTAAGAAAAAGTGTTTTTTCAGAGTTATGAGTATTCACAAGATCAGCTGAATTAATACAATTATTATGCCTAACTATTGTAATCCAAATGGGAATATTTTGGCCTGGGTGTGTATTCTTTCTGGCCATGATGTGAATGCATACATGCTGCCAGTTCTGCAGTAAGTCAAATCAAAACTCATGTTTGCATCTTTGACTTGAATCATGATATCAGAGTTCACCTTGTAACAGAGTGGCATGTGGTTCCAGGGTAGTCTGCAACATCCTAAAATGCATCCCTGCAACAAATCTCCACTTACACTTGCAAAGGTTTATTGCAGATAACTAAGTCTGGATCCTTATAAAGGTCTTTAAAAAACTTGTGCAGCTGAGCCAAATTCTGATAAGCAGCAACTTCTACATTTCTCTTACACCATGCTCTCAGGGTGCTCTGGAAGCAATTGCCTAGAATTGCAGATAAGTATCAATCACAGTATTATCTTGTTCACATTGCAAATAATATCAAATCATGTAACGTGTTTATCATACACGTATAAAATGTATATGATTGAAGAAATCAAAACTGATTTTTTTAAAAAAACATGAACACTAAGCTATACAATGGCCCTACTGCTAGTATCTTTGAAACTGCAGCCCTGATTTGTTTTTGGCACATTTCTAGCTTTAAGAAATGCAGCTAAGCAGCAGTGTTCCATTGACCTTTTCAAAGTACCCAACACGTCAGCATCATCGAGGTCAACAAAGCCAAAGTGTTGAAGATCAAAGTTTAGTTCACAAAGCCTGCCCTCATGCTGCCTTGACTATCTGATAACACAGACAAGCATATGTTTCAGAGCTGACATTACAGCCAGGTGTTATCATGAACGCTGATGATTAAAACAATTGTTATGCAAAAAGGCATGGAGCTAAAACGCGCTGATTTTTAAAGTTTTAACATTCCACTTGCTATAAATAACTTTAGTTATGGATTTTTAAATATGCACAGAGATGTAAAATAATCCTCAGAAAGTACTGAAAGAAGAAGAAAGCAGCTTTGAGTTATTTGCTGATGTGCACAAGGACCAATAAAAGTGTTGCTAATTCATTCCCACACTTTATATAAATATCCTAACAGGACAAACCAAATATATCTCTCATTTCAGTGGATACACACAACTGATACATTTGGTCTCAACTCTGAATCTGCCAATTAATGGCTGAGTACTAGTGTCAATTCCCTTGGCAAGGTGTTGTAACAGGCAGCTGTATCTTACATTCAAGCATCTTTAAGAATCAGTGTTTTTAATATAGATCCTAGGGTCCCCAATTTGATATGTATAAGGGGCATTTTTTTTCCTAGTGTGCAAAGCACACAGCAGCTCCAATTACTCAGCTTTCAAGAAAAAGTTACTCTATCTGTAGAGGTGCCCAAAGTAACTCAGAAGCTGTAATTTAACTACCACTCTTAAGTTTTGTCTGTATTACCACATGGAAATGAGGATCCTTGTGATCTTGGGGCCCAGAAAGTGACTGAAAGGAAACTCTCCCTGGTACATACATAGAAACTACCTAAATGGAGCACAGCTGTGTGGCAGATACTTACATTTTTATTTAAATCTAATTTTAAGGATTTAACACAAGTCGGCTTCACCCTCCTTGCCTCCCACGCTTTCTGTGTATCTACCACCCTAATATTCAAATCCATTTAATATCCCTTCTTCTGACCTTCAAGGCTGAATCAAATAAATATTCACTATCTTCACAATGATGACAAGAATCAGCCAGCATCTCTTCACTGTCAAGATTAATTTTGTGCTGGTTTCCATTAATCCACAATGAGATGTTCACAAGGCATGGGACTTTAATGATAACTATTAGTTTCCCCTACAGGGACGATCACACCATCCATCTCTAATAATAATTAGAGAAACTGAGCTGCCAAACACAAAGTAAACATGGGATGATAATAGGATTAACAATCTGTATGAGAATAGATAGTGACATTACCATACCCCACCCCCGCAAAGAACTGTTCTTACAGCAACTCAGCACCTCAGGTGTTTCTCTTATCTTCCTCTTTTGGACTGAGGGATGCCAGGCTTTTACTCTTGAAGTTTTGTTCTTGCATAACATTTTCATCCTGGAGTAAAGGAGGAAGAAACTACTAAGTAAAAAAACAACTTTTAGTTTAGTTTTGCTCATCTTTTTACCAGTGACTTAAATTTGTTTCACTGGAACTTTCAACTTAGCTTCCTTCAGCTTAGCGTTACACATTGTGAGCAATTCCATTAACTCCTGTACAACCCACTTGCTCACAACTATTTCCAGTCTCACACCTGGGTGCTCTGATGTTTTTCTCTTCTGATTTCTCCTAGGTTCATAAATGCATTCAGCAGAGAGCTGCTCAGTAATTCTCTGTATTTTTAAAGCAGCAAGTTATTTCATTCATATTACTCAAGTTGCCCAAAGGGTAGAAAAAATTATACCCATTTTACAGAAACACAAAGAGGAAAACATTAGGCAACTTGTTAGAGATTGCACATTGTGTTCAGCTGCAGAGCTAGGCATAGAAACCAGACTGATTGACTCTGAGGTTCCAAGTGTGATCAATGTTTGAAATGTCCTTTTACTGGAAATTTACCATTCACTTTTACACAAGCTATTTCTGCAGAAAGGAATGAGAATGTGACAGGCTGA